CGGCTGAGGGAGGTGCGGTGGCGGCTGCAGTGCTGTTGTCGGGGGCTGGCTGGTCTCCGTCCGCGTGCGATAAGGTCGTCGGTGTTACGCCAGGCGGCTCTGATTGAGGCTTGTTTTTGCTGTTGGTTTTTTTAAGGTGATTTTCCTTACCGAGGCAGAGGCTCTGTCCTGACCTCTGTTAACCGTTTTTGAGGTGTAGCCCCAGGAGCCTTGGTTAAGGCCAGTTGTGGGGGAACAGGCAGGTGATTCCATTTGCGGGTGCCCTGTCAGGACTATAACTGGCGGGATGTTTCTGTTCTCTAAGCAAGCCTTTGAAAAACACTGGCCCTTGAAAGTTCTGCGGTACAGAAATCTACTGATGATCAATGCAGTTGGACGTCTGAGGAGCTCACGGTGATGTTTGTGCAAAGTAACCCTGCTGAAATTAATTTTGAACTGAAAAGGGGGGTTTGTTAGTGAAATAACCTTTCAGAGCTGTGTAGAGTAGGGTTTGCAAAACGATGTTGGCCATTAATTTTGCCCAGTTGTCTCTGTGTTAAGAAAAATGCAGCTGCTCAGCTTTCTCCAGGTATCGGCTTTAATCATCCTGTCTTGACTTGAAGCTATCAAGAAATGGAAAATCTGCCTCTTTTGTTGTTTTACTGTTACAAATTGCACCAGTGTTTGAACATCTATGCCTGATTTCTTTGTTCTGTTTTCATCAGAAATTAAATTCTGTATCTGGTAACTTGGGTTTGTGCTAGTACATTAAAAAAAGATCAGCGATATGGAGAAATAACAGAAAATGCCATGTTCTCATTAGATTACGCTCTGATGTAATAATCTAATTCTTAATGGTAATGATGAAGTGTTTACATCAGTGAATTTGAAATAATGTTTACAGAACTGACAGTGTTACCAGTGTGATAAGCAGGCTTAAAAACTGTTTTGCAGTCAGTGACAGACTTCATACTCAATTGAAGGACTTGGAATTGTAGCAGAACTGCATGCTGTCTTTGTGCCAATCCGAGTACCTAGTGCTGGCAAACTTAGCTGGCGTCGAGGAGACTAGGTGAAAACACAGAAGGCAAAATCCTGAGATTCTTTTCTAAAACTTAAACAAAACAGGAACACAAATAAATTCTTAATGTGAGCAGGTGAGGGTGAAGAGGCTCTTTCTAATTTTTCATCATGTTCTAGCAATGACATTTTAGAGAATTACATTTAGAATACCTGAATTTATTGTAGCAATGGCTACCCAGGAAAAAAAAAATTCCTTTTACCTCTAGCCCCCTGTTTCCCCATTTATACATTCTCTATTATATTCACTTTTTGCAATGATGTCGTGTTGGGAGTGACAAAACGTTTCCTAACTTGACCTTTTGTGCCATGGTAAGTTGTGGTGTCAGGGCAGTTGCACCTTTCTAATTCCTGTGATTGTGGTGCTTGTCTGCTCCGATTCCAAAACCTTTTGCTGAGGTACCACAATCTACTTCCTGTATGAGTCCTCAATCTTTAGGGTGAAGTCAAGTCAGGTGGATGAGCTGATCTAACAGTTGCCTGCTTCAGAAAACATGAGGTTTCACTTCTTCCCCCACTCTTTCCTGGTGTTCATCAGAACCCTTGCTGAGCCAGGACATCTCAGTAAGCCAGCAGAAAGCCATCCGTTGCTCTGATTTGTTTTTTAAGGCTTTTTTTTTAAACTACATTAATTTTATGCCAGGTTATTAATTAGAGTAGTTCACAGGCAGGTCCCAACAAATGCTAGAGCCAGCTTAATACAGGAGGGTAGGGTGATTCAGCTTGCAGATCACTAAAATATTCAACAGCCACAATAGTGAACTGATTCTGTAGGTTCTCACTAAAAGCATTATCATTTGTTCACAATTCCTGACTGATACCTATTTCTGAAGCTGTGTTTTGGCTTAACAAGTTGTTATTCCCCTGACAGCTGTGTTGTTTACCAGTGCATCAGTCTATATTTTATTGCCATGATATAGTCATGTGGCGTACGAAGGTGTCATTCTAATTTTTTTTTTTAAGTAAAAATAACTGAATAGATTTGAGTAGTCAGGATTGTTTTAGATTCATTGTTTTCCTATTGTCATTCAATCTGTCCTTTATTAATAAAACTTATTCCTTCACCAGCTTTTCTACTATTTTGCTCAGGAATGGGATGATAACTCAGACAGTAGCTGGATAATAGAGACTGTAGATGGGTAATCTGTTGCCATGTGGCTTACTTCACTTGACATTTTTGAATGCTACGTAGTATTAACACTGCTTGAAGTTTCTGGAATTTCTTTTATCCAGGGATTATTTCCCTTTCCTCTGTGGCGGGGGGGGGGGGGGGGGGGGGGGGTTGGGGTTTTTGTGTTTGTTTTGTTGTTTTTTTTTTTTAAAGGACAGTTAGGTATATTGGGGAGAAAAAAAAATTAGATACTGAACTTTTTCCAGTCGTGGATGGACTGGAAAATACTTCATGATATTTTCACAATAGCAGTACATCATCCTTTTTACAAAATAGAGAAGAAAAATACTTAATGAACCTTGCTGCATTTTTTTGGCACTGGTAGGTTTACTGTCTGTCTAATAATGGTTCTAGGTCATGAGTAGTTATTTCGTGTTATATGTTTATATGTTCTTTTGTATGTTAATAAAATCCTGTATTTTATACGGTAATGAAATAACGAGGGTGGAAAGAGAATTAAGATTTCCCTCTCCCCCCCCCGATGTATCTATAATGTACACTCAATTACTTTAGTTTCCTCCGTGTGACGAGACAGTCTGTCACCGCAATCGCAGCAACGTGGAGCAGGCGAAGCAGCGGAGAACGCTCTCCCGGGGCAGTTCTACAGCGGCGGGAGGGCGGAGGCGGTGAATTACTGGCTGTTACACACCTCTCGGTGAGAGGCCTGTGACTTCGGGAAAGAGGCGACTCCCCTGAACCCTCCTCATCTGCCTCTCGGAATGATGGCAGGCGGGGAGCGGTGCCAGGTACCCGCACTGCGTTTTGCCTGCAGGGCGGTTCACGGCTCCAGTCAAAATAACTGATTTTATTAAATTATTCATCGTCTTTCCACTCGCTGTGTTTCAGTGCCTTGAAATCGAATGGTCTCGGCCAGGGCTGGGGCACGCTGACCCCTTCCAGGCACAGCGCTGACGGGACCCGGAGCTCACCCCTGGCCGCCCGCGCCCCGCCCCGCGGCGCCCTC